CTTTTCCTCCTCCTCCTCCTTTTCCTCCACCCCTTCCTCACTCCTCCTCCTCCTCCGCATTCCCCTCATTCTTCTCCACCCTCCCTCCTCCTCATTCTCCTCCTCCTCCTCTTCCTCCTCCTCCTCCTCCTCCTCCTCATTCTTCTTGTTCTCCTCCTCCTTTTACTCCACCCCCTCCTCCACCTCCTCCTCCTCGTTCTCCTCCTCATTTTCCTCTTCCTCTTCTCTTCCTGCTCCTCTTCTTTCTCCCTAACTCTTGCCTCCTCCTTTTATTCAATTCCCTTTTCCCTTTCTTTCTACGCCCATTTTCTCTTATTTCTATATCCATTTTTTCCTATTCTCGCTCTCTCCTCTTATTCTCCTTCCTTCACACCTCCTTCGCGTCCCTCTCATTTCCTTTCTTCTTTTCATCTTCCTCTCCTCCCTTTCCTCCCATCCCCTTCATTCCTGTCATCCTTATCTCTTCTCCCCCTTCGCGTCTCCCTCTTTCTCTCTCTCCATACCTTCGTCCTCTCGTTTTCTGTCATTTTCATCTCTCTCTCTTTCTTCCTCCTCCGTCCCATCCCTTTCCTACGTCTCCATCTTCCTTCTCCCTCCTTCCTTTTCTTTCCTTCCCTTCCCTACCTTGCCTTCCTTCCTCTCTTTCCTCTTTCATTCTTCATCCATCCCTCCTCCTTCCTCCCCCTCCCTCTCACCTCCTCCCTCTTCCTCCACCTTCCCTTCTCTTCCTTTCCTTCCTTCCTCTCTTTCTTCTTTCCTTCCTTCCTCTCTTTATTCTTTCCTCCTTACCTCCCTCCTTCTTTTCCTTCATTCCTCTCTTTCTCCTTTCCTTCTTCTTCCATCCTTCCTCCTCCTTCCCACACCGCTTTCTAAGTCCCTTTCCATAATTTAGTCGCTCATATGACATGCCGCGATCCAGTCAGCCAGAGTGACATTCTACGAGCCCGTGAGACTGTGTGACGTCACTGTTTGTTTTTAGGGGGATCAGAGCGTAAACTTTTTTTCTTTTTTTTCATTCTTATTTTTTTCCTTTTCTGTTTTTTGTTTATGGATTTCTGTTTCGTTATTTTTTTCATTATTATTTTTTTCAGTATTTTTTTTCATTATTATCTTTTTCATTATTATCTTTTTCATTATTATCTTTTTCATTATTTTTTTTCATTATTATCTTTTTATTTTTATTTTTTTCATTATTATCTTTTTTTCATTGTTTATCTTTTTCATGATTTGTAATGAGGTTAGAAATACAGAAAACATGTGTTGAAGATTTTTTATTAAACATATATAAAATATTTTTACAAATTCTACACACAGCCTAATGCACATTTAAACACCTTTCGAAAGCTATCCAGTAACGGAAAGGTAAGAAAAAAAGAATTATTACAGGTTTGATATTAGTAAATGTACAATGGCACAGAATAACAAATGCACACGACGCTACAAAACACGTCTTGTACAGCGATAGTACATTTAACCTCAAACACCGTTATAATAAGTTTTTTTTTTTGTTTTATACACACATTCACAACATAGAATTTCACATCACGGTGGTTGTTCGTAGCAACTGCACAGTATTTCGGTTCTGCAATTTCATCTTTTCCTCTCGTATTGTTTTCTCGTTTTCGAATTTATTATTTTTTTCCCCCTTCTTTCACTCTCTCTTTCGTTTTTCTTTGTCTTTCGTTTTTGTTTTTTTCTTCCTCCATCGCTCTTTCTCTCTTTCATTCTCCTTCTCTCTGGCTGCCTTTCTGTCTGTCTTCTCTCTCTCTCTCTCTCTCTCTCTCTCTCTCTCTCTCTCTCTCTCTCTCTCTCTCTCTCTCTCTCTCTCTCTCTCTCTCTCTCTCTTCCCTTTCCCTCTTCCTCTTCCTCCTTCCTCTCTTCTTCCCCTCACCCCCCTCACCCTCATCTCACCCTTCACTCACTTCCTCCCCCCTCCCCCCTCCCCTCCTCTCTCTCCCTCTCCCTCTCCCTCTCCCTCTCCCTCTCCCTCTCCATCCACATCACAAACACATACACACAAATAAATAAAATCCCCACAACGGACACACAACCACAACCACACCAAAGACGCCTCTTAAGGGTCCTGTGTTGCCTTTTCTCTTGCAACATCTGCAACACCGCCTCCTTGCCCGGCTGCAGTAGAACCCTGGTAACGCCCTACTCCGGCTTACTAAAGTATTTTTGACGCCGTTTAAATAAGCATTTGGCAACTGATAGGCTGCATAGTAAAGGTTGAACAATTAATAATGTTAATAGTGTATATTTACATTATATTCATAAATTATTATTATTATCATTATCATTATTTTCTTTCCAAAAAAAAACAACGTAAATGAATGAATGTTGCATTGGTACACTCACGCACACTTGTAGACCCAATACAAATATATAAACACACACAGTTCTCATTCCTTCCTAGCTGTGTGCGCGTAGGTCCATTTCTCTACATCTTTTTACACGCCCGGGGAATGTTCTGTAAAAGGATCATCTTGCAAGCTTTTACTCCTCTGAACGAGTCATAGCTTGGACGTAATATCTATTCCCTTCCTTTCTCTTCCTCTCTGTCTTTCTCCTTCCCTCTTTCTCTCTCCTTTTCTTCACCATCCTCCATTGTTTTTCATTTTCTTTGCCTTTCTTCCTCCTCTTTTCTTTTCTCTACTTCCCCTCCCTCCACCTTTCTTCTCCTTCTCCTCCTCCTCTTCCTCCTTCCCTCCCTCCTCTCTCCTTCGTTCCTACTGCTTCTCCTTCCTTTCTTCCTCCCTCCTCCTCCACCCATTCCCTTCTCCTCCCTCTTCACCAGCTCTCCTCCCATTCCTCTCTCCTCCTACCCTTCCTCTCCTCTTTCTCACCTCCTCCTTCCCTCTATTCCTCTCTCTCCTCCTCTCCTTCCCCCATGGACATCAGCAACGCCCTACACACGCCCTCGAACAAGCCCCGCCCACAAATGCTACGTCTTCAGCGTCGTCCTCGAGATTTCAGGGAATTTGACGACGGCGGCGACGAAGGCGAAGACGCAGACGAAGACCTCCATTTAGCGAGTTAATGGGCGGCCACGGGGGGGGGGGGGGTAGGAGGGAAGGGGGCGGGAAGAGGGAGGTAGGAGGGGGAAAGAGGGAGGTGGTAGGGGAGAAGAGGAGAGGAAGAGGAGGAAGGGAAGAGATTTTTGCCCCCGCGACGCCCGTGCAATTAGGCCGTTATGCGTCGAGGATACTGGAGACGTAGAGATATTTCCCTTGAGTGATTTTCCCTTCTTCTTCTAAGTTCTCTTCTGGTTCTCCATCTTTTTATCTCTTTACTTATTTTTTTCTATTTATTAAAATGTTTCTCCTCTCCTCTATTCTCTTTCTTTTCTTCATTTCTCTTCCCGTTTCTTCACTTCTCTCTTCTCTTCTCTTTCCTTCTCCCCCCTTCTCTTCCTCTTCCTCTACTAGTCTTCCCCTTTCCCTGCCCTCTTTTCCCCTTGCCTCTCCATCCTTTTCCTCTCTCCTCCCTTCACCCTCTTCCATCGAGTATGTCCTTGCAATGGCTACGATATTTTCATTTGAATTAATCTGAACGAGGCGTTAGTCTTGAAAAAAAGTGGGTTTGAATGTGTGTGTGTGTGTGTGTGTGTGTGTGTGTGTGTGTGTGTGTGTGTGTGTGTGTGTGTGTGTGTGTGTGTGTGTGTGTGTGTGTGTGTGTGTGTGTGTGTGTATGTGTGTGTGTGTGTTTATGTGTGTGTGTGTGTGTGTGTGTGTGTGTATGTGTGTGTGTGTGTGTGTGTGTGTGTGTGTGTGTGTGTGTGTGTGTGTGTGTGTGTGTGTGTGTGTGTGTGTGTGTGTGTGTATGTGTGTGTGTGTGATTGTGTGTGTGTGTGTGTGCCTGTCTGTATGCCTCTTTGACTGTCTGTCTGTCTGTTTATTCTGCCTGCCTGCCTATCTGTCTGCCTGTCTACCTATCTGTCTATACGTACGTACGTTTATATACCCACCTGCGCCTCCCAACACAGACTCACCCACATGCCAATAATTAAATAAACATTGCACAAACAAGAAAGACAGAGCTTCCACTTCGCGAATAATTCACATTTAGGTCACCCGGTAACCCTCAGCCAACGGGCCTCATCACCATAAATATTCATACATATCGATCAAGTCTCGAAGCTCAACATCATAAAGGTCACATCTCGAAGCGCATGTGTGGGATTATCGCCTTATGAGTCACTTTTTTTCCCCCACGGGACAGAGGTGGAAAGTGGGTAACGCGTAAGCTTCCAGGGCCTATAAGGGAGAGGGAGAAGAGAGGGAAGGGAGAAGGAAGGGAGAGGGAGAAGGGAGAGGAAGAGGCGAAGGAAGAAAGAGGGGAGGAAGGAGAGAGAAGGAAGGGAAGGAAGAGGGAGTAGAAAGGGAAGAAAGAGGGAGAAGGGAGAGGAAGAGGAGAAGGAAGAAAGAGGGGAGAAAGGAGAGTAAAGAGAGAAGGAGGAGAAAAGAGCAAAGAAGAAAGGAAAGGGACAGTGAAGGGAGAGATACAGGGAAGAGAGAGAGAGCGAGGGTAAGAGGGAAGAGAGAGAGCGCGAAAGAAAGAGGGAAGGGAGAACCGGTCGACGAAAGTTGAAGGAGAGGACAGGGTGGGAGTGGGGGGGAGGAGAGGGCGATATTACGTCATCGAAGCTATCTTTATGACTGTAAATTATATAACTTGATGACGTCAGACAAGTCGACTACCTGTACATAATTTCGCGGGTCCTTTTACCTTTAAATGTCACACGCTGCTAAGTTAACATCGTATCTCGACCTGTAAGTTTTCAGAACATATTTTCGGGGAGTTTTTTTTTTTTTTTTTTTTTGTATATATACATTTTATTTTTTTCGTTCACTTTTTCCCTTGATCTCAAAAGGACTTTTTTTTATCCAGATTTTTTTCTATATTAAATATCAATATCGGATGAAAGGAACAAAAGGAGATTAGATTAATAATGAGAACAATGTCTATTGGCGGATCGAAGGAGGAGGAGGAGGAGGAGAAGGAGGAGGAGGAGGAGGAGGAGGAGGAGGAGCAAAAGAAGAAGAAGAAAAAACGTAGAAAAAAAAAAATTAAGGAAAATAAATAGATAAATAAAAAAATAAGAAAAAAAGGAGGAGGAGTAAGAAGCGAAAGAAGAGGAAGAGGATGAGGAAGAGAATTAAACACTGGCATGACAATCCCACCAGCCCCTTGCCTCCCCCCCCTTTGCATACAGAGGCACCCTCATACCCACTACGTCAGTTTTTCTTCTTCTCCTTCTCTTTCCTTCTTCCGCTTCTTCTTCCATTTCTTCTTCTCCCTCTCCTTCTCCTTCTTATCCCATTTCTTCTTCTCCTTCTTCCTTTAATACACACACACATAATACATTCCCTTGACTAGACTCCTGTAAACACCGACGTTACTGGATGATGCATATTATTATACACTTGATATGAAGAAGACAGTTATGCTGGCGTTTGTCATAACCGACGTGAAATTAGATATTGGCACCGGGTTTATCTTGGTGTCAATGAGCAGGTCTGACAGTTACGATAAAGATGCATAGCGTATGAACAATATGTGTGTGTGTATGTATGTATGTATGTGTATATATATATATATATATATATATATATATATATATATATATATATATATATAAATGAATATATAGATAGATAAATAGATTGGCTGCCTGCCCCATTAGGTGGCAGGTATATCAACTGATTAGTGTTGTAGGCCCAGTAAAAAAAAATAATGTAAGTGGGACCACTTGTACGGTTTACTGAGCTTTCCTGTCCGATTTTTCCTATTTCAAACTCTTTTAAAATGGTATGTTATCATAAACATAATTCTTCGACTCCTGCAGTTACAGCTCACAAAGGAATGAATATAATGCTTATTACAATATTTATAATAGTAAAATATTAGCAAAAAATAATGATCATCCCAATAATATTAATAACAACAACAATAATCATAATAGCAATTAAATAAACAAAACGCCCTAACTACCTTTTTTTTTTACATATAACCCTATTACAAAAAAAAGACGTTAAGTGAAACGATGTTGCAGTCACACCGCCCAGTGAACAGAGTGAGGCGTTATATTAACCGTTAACGGCCTTCAACAACAGAAAAGGCGCGAAACGGGGCATGTGCGAGACATCCAGACAAAAGACAATCGATATCCGGACTTCCAGCTGATTGTCAACAGACACTGCAGTTCATTTCTTTTTTTTTCGTTTTTTTCCTTTTTTTTTGTCATGATAACACTTTAGAACACCAAGTCTTTTCTTCCTTATACATTATAAAAAAGGGAAACTGCGATACATACGCCCGCTCCTCCTCACATATGTAAAAACTGACACCAGCAAACGATTTTTTTTTTCTTCTAGTCTTTGAATAACCTTTGGAGAAACATCAAAGTTACGGGTACACAAAATGGCGCCGGTACATCACACACATACAAAGTACACGCGGGAAGAAATTCAAACATTATGCTTTATACTCATGGACGGAAGTTCATATATGGAAAATTATCGAAATATGGTGCCTTTCATTTTTTTCTTAATCAGATGAAGAGGTGAATAGAAAAGACAGAATTAAAAAAAACAAAAAACGTTGACTATGTCTCATCGCTATGTGTTATGTTATGTTATTTCTCGTGTGCTAAGTTTTTTGGATAGTTTATATGCTGTATAGCAGTAGTTTGTAACAAAGCTTGTAAACACTGCTTTGTAACGAATGCAATATAGTGTATCTAATGCAGCACTTGAATAATTTACGCAGTATAAATAAAGATTCCACTAGTGTACCTGCCGCAGTGATCTGCACTTATTTTCCTACTCCACTACATAGCGCTACAAATACATGGGTTTTAGATGAGCTGTGACTAACTACGCTAAGCCGAGGGAAGAGAATTTAGATCAAGGAGTAAGGTTAGGCTCCCGTGGGACTCCATAAGTAGTCTTCATCTCACCTACGTTTGTATGACTTCCCTTAATCAACTCTTTAGGATTTAAAGTACCTCTTTAAAGGGACGTCTTCGGGACCATATTTCGATACTTCCTCTTAAGACCATAATCCTAAATGTTACTCTGGAACTAATCCAAACTACATTATGATTGACAAAGCATAATTACTTCCTCGTCATGTTCTACACGCTACACCGGGACTAGGCCTACGGAGGAGTTGACAGAGCCTTCGGTTTCCTCTGGCGACGGCGCTGGGACCGTATCAGTGATTGTCGTCTTTTCTTCTGCCTCCGCCGTGCGAGTGTATCCGCAGGCTCTCGTACGTCGGCGGGGGCGGTACGTGCTGTGCGTACGCCGAGGAAGGCACGGTATCTGACGCAGCCGTGGTCGGGGGCGATGCTACGAAGGCGTTCGAAGCCGGAAGATGCAGGACGTTCGCGGAGGAGGACGACAGCTGGTACTGACACGAGGTGAAGATGGGCGACGGCGGCCGATCGTACACGCCCGCCCGCGCCTTGCCCAGCTCCTGCAGCGTCCCCGTGGGCGTGAGGCTCCTCGGGGTGTCGCAGAAGTTAGCGCTGCTGAAGAGGGGCGTGGTGCACAGAGGAGAGGCCGAACGCCCCTGGCACGACGCGGAGGACGTCTGAGAATGGTGGGAGTTGTGGACACCGACGGGAATGCCTTGCGACTGCGACGAAGAGGTCTGGGAAGCGTTCACGAGCTCCTGCAGCGTCTTGGCGTCCATGATGAGCTCGGGGGAGAGGCTGGAGTACTCGGGGGGCGACTCGTAGGGCGGGGGGGAGTCCTTCATCCACTTTTTGACTACGATGCCGTGCGTCTCCGTCAGGTAGGGAATGTGGGCGCCCTGGGGAGGAGAGAGAGGGCCGTTAGTGGGGAAACGAGAAGAAAGCAAAAATAATAATGATAATAAGGACAACATGAACAAGAATGATAGAAAAGAAAGAGAACAACATGAACAAAAACAAGAGGAAAAAAATGGAAGAATAAACACAACAGAATGAAAAGGAACAAAAACAAGAAGAAGAGAGAGAAAAAAAAGAAAAATGATAAGATGAGCATGAACAGTAACAAGAACAAGAAGAGGAAAAAATAGCCTGGGAAAAGTCAGATAAAGTTCAGTTTATCTCATTAGCAGGAGTAATTAGCATGAATTTACATTATCGTACAGAGAGAGACGATGAGCAATATACTTGAAATGTGTTTGGAGAAAGAGGGAGAGGGAGAGAAAGAGAGAGGGGGGGGGAGATAAAGAGAGGGAGAGAGACAGACAGACAGACAGACAGACTGAAAATGAGAAAAAAACGAAGAGACAAACAGAGAGAATCATATTGGAAAGATAAATTTTTCGAAATAATACCTTTTCTATTATGCAATATGATTCCAAACTGCACAACAAATATTTATATAAATATTGACAATAAAACAAAAATATGAAGACAAATAACAGTAATAGAAATGCAATTAGTGAATAAAGTTTGGTGAGGATAATAATGGCACAATTAACGGGTTGGTGAGGATAATCGTTTGAAATAAATGTTATTCGGACAACACCGAGCTTTGGAATAAATGCTATTCGGACAACACCGAGCTTTGAGATAATGTTATTCGGACAACATCGAGCTTTGGAAGAAATGTTATTCGGACAACACCGAGCTTTAAGATAAATGTTATTCGGACAACACCGAGCTTTGGAAGAAATGTTATTCGGACAACACCGAGCTTTGGAAGAAATGTTATTCGGACAACACCGAGCTTTAAACACCACTAAGGTGATCGGGGAATTAATGAATTGATAAACAGATAGATAAACAGGTAAATATACAAATAAAGATATGAATAGGTAAATCATTAAATAAGATCAATAGATAAATAGATAAATCAAAAGTTAATGGGTAAATAGGTAAATAAAATGATAAATAAATAAATCGGTAAATGAATGAATGAATGAATGAACGGTTAGTAATATCATTCACAGCCTTTCATATTCCGTATTTCGGTCTTTTCATATACATAAAAAAATCAGTGCCTCCCTCCCTCCCTCCCCCCCCCCCTCCCTCCCTCCCTCTCTCCCTCCCCTTCTTTCCTTCCTCTCTCCCTCACCTTCCTTCTTTCCTCCCTCCCTCCATCCATCCCTTCCTCCCCTTCCTCCCTCCCTCCCTCCCCTCCCTCCCCTTCCTCTCTCTCTCCCCTCCCTCCCCCCTTCCTCCCTCCCTCCCTCTCTCTCTCGTATATTGTTCTGAGAAGTAAAGATGAATGGAGAGGGAGAGAAAGAGGAAGGAAGAGAAAAAGAGGGAAGAAAAAGCGAATGAAAGAAGAGAGGGAGAAAGGGTAAAGAGGGAGGGAGGGAGAGGAATAGGGAGGGGGGATGAGGGAGGGAGGGAGGGAACGAAGAGAGGGAAGGGAGGAAGAAGAGAGGGAAAGTGGTAGAGAAGAGAGAGAAAAAAGAGAGAACTAGAGAAAAAATAGTGAAAGAAAAAGAAAAAAAACAGACAGACAGAGAAAGGGAGAGCACAGAAAGAAGATGAGCAGGATTACTTAACCCCCCCCCCCACCACCACCCACCCCGTGACCGTGGCCGTGGGTCTACGAGGAGTAACTCCGGGAGCTTAACTTTCCTTCGCTTTTCGTTAGCGCTCCACGGAGGCTTACGAGGATGCTCCTGGCTCCTCTTAAAAGAAAAAGAGAGAGAGAGAGAGAGAGAGAGAGAGCTAGAGAGGGAGGGAGGGAAGGAGGGAGAGAGAGAAAGAGAGAGAGAGAGAGAGAGAGAGAGAGAGAGAGAGAGAGAGAGAGCTAGAGAGGAGGAGGGAGGAGAGGAGAGAGAGAGAGAGAGAGAGAGAGAGAGCTAGAGAGGGAGGGAGGGAGGGAAGGAGGGAGAGAGAGAGAGAGAGTGAGGCAGGGAGAGAGGGACGGAGAGCGAGAGAGAAAGAGAGAGAGAGAAAAAAAATGTAGTGAGGGAGGGAGAGAAAGAGAGAGATACAGAGAGAGAGAAAAAAAAATAAAGAAAACGAGAGAGGAGAGACTAAGCACCCCCGCCTATCTGTCTAGCCTGTCAAGTCAGTCTAGTCAGCCAATCTGTCTGTCTGTCTGTTACCTGACGTCATCGGAAGATCTAGTCACGTGTCACTCACTCCCGCTGATCAATACCGGCCGAGCAGGTCACTATAGAACCTCAGGTATAAAGACTAATTGCTAAGGCCATGTCGACACATGTCTCTCAGCAGATGCGAGGAGGGGACACGAGAGATAAGAGGGACGAGAAGGATATTTGGAGAGATAGAAAGAAGGAATGAAGGGAAGAAGGAAGATCGTAAGGAATTAAAAGAAGAGGATCGTAATGAATGAAAGAGAGAGGGAGAGAGAGAGAGATTAATCGAAATGAAAAGGCGATAGAGGAAGAGGGCTGTATTGTGGAAGAGAGATTATACGATATGAAAAGAAGAAGAAAGAGGAGGATCATAACGAATGGAAGAGAGACAGAGAAGATGAAATGGAAAGAAAAAGACAAAGGATGATATTGGGGAAAAGAGAGAGAGAGAGAGAGCGATTAGACGAACTGAAAAGGAGATAGAAATAAAGATACTGATTATGTGAAGAACAGGAATAAGAGAGAGAGAAATTGAGAGAAAGAGAGAGAGAGAGAGACAGATCGAGAGAGAGAGAGAGAGAAAGAGAGAGAGAGCGAGAGACAGATCGAGAAAGAGAGAGAGAGAGAAAGCGAGAGACAGATCGAGAAAGAGAGAGAGAGAGAGCGAAAGACAGATCGAGAGAGAGAGAGAGAGAGACAGATCGAGAAAGAGAGAGAGAGAAAGAAAGAAACAAAGAAAGATTAGACGAAAATATTTTTAAAAACGAGATAGAGACAGACAATAATATCAATTCACGTGGAGAATAGGAGAAGCAAAGAAAGCCGAATTGAATGGAAAGCGTATAAGAGTGTAGTAAAGATTTAACACAGACGCTAAGACAGATGAGTCTCTCACAGAACGAGAGAAAAGGGACAGTTATAGAACCCTTTCGCCTTATTTACTATCCGAACCTGATGCATTGTGGGAAAAATAGAGTTGCCAGGCTTTTCCCTCTGTCCGGATAAGCGAGTCTTTTCTCATAAAGTGTTAAGACAACTTGAAAAATATATATATATCTCACTGTTATTTTTATTTATTTATTTTTAAACAAAACCGAAGGTCTGTCAACCTCGCTTTTTTTTGTTGTTGTTGTTGTATATGCACCCTTCTATTCATAACTTTTCCTTTCTTTTTAATAATAATGATAATGATGATAATTATAATAATAAGGACAATAATAGTAATAGTAATGATAATAATAATAGTAATAATAATAATAAAAGTAATAATAATAATAATAATAATAATAATAATAATAATAATAATAATAATAATAATAATAATAATAATAATAATAATAATAATAGTAATAACAATAACAATAATAATAATAATAATAATAATAATAATAATAATAATAATAATAATAATAATAATAATAATAATAATAACAACAACAACAACAACAACAACAACAACAACAACAACAACAACAACAACAGCATCAACAATAACAACAACAATAATAATAATGATAATAGTAATGATAATAATAATAATAATAATAAAATTATAATAATAGTAATGTTTCACACATCTAATCACGAATTCCATATTATGTTTTTTTTTTTTCAGAATCGTCGCGTAACCCTGAAGTAAGACGTAAGTACAAAATATTAATTAAATTACCCTGTATTTTGAAGTCATTCATTTCTACTCATGTCATTTCAAACATATGTTACAATGAACCTAGCTTAACCCACAATCAAGTAATTATAAAGATATAAAATGATTTTTTTCATTCATAATCTTACGTTCTGAATCTTTGTTAATGATGATAATAATACAAATAGATGAAATTATATAAATTAATGAATAAAAATCCCGATGCCACTTATTCAGTTACGTAATTTTGAAGCCTTAAGGACGTAATATTAATTATAAACCATTACTGAATCATTATGTAATTTTTTTCAACATCGCGTTTCCAAGAATCTTGTTTATGACTTTTCAATCATTGCGTCTTCAGAAACAATCCCCCGTTCTTCGAAAGACTTGTAGCGAAATTCGAATAAAAGTTCGTAGATTTATTCTGCCCTAATGCGAACCTTTTTTTCCTCAAAACCTTTTCAACATTGGTTTCCACGAAGTCTCTCTAAGCCTTTTCAACTTTCAATCTTCAGATCCCAAGCCTCGTAAAGTTAAAGAGAAAAATACTGATTATTACAGTTATTGTTATTACTATCATTGTTATTTTTATTATTTTTATTATTATTATTGTTATCATTATTATCACTATTATCATTATTATTATTATTATTATTATTATTATTATTATTATTATTATTATTATTATTATTATTATTATTATTATTATTACTATCATTATTATCATTATTATTATCATTATTATTATTTCATCATCATCATCATCATCATCATCATCATCATCATCATTATTATCATTCATTCTGATTATTATTATCATTATCTTTATTATTATCACCATTATTATTATCACCATCATCATCATTATCATTATTACCATTATTATGATGATGATTTTTTTCCTTTTAGGGGGGAGGGGGGGGTATCATTCACCCATTTTTCCCAAACCCTTTTCAAAAAAATTGCTAACCGCGAGCCCATCATCAGAAACCAATCAACACAATGCTATAATGTACATAAGGACGAAAACCTTCACGATTTCACTCTTCTTTAAGCTTTCATAACCCTATTTATCTGACAAAACACAAATGGCGGTTTTGTTCTCATATTT